TCTACTTTCCCTGTCCTTGGCCTGCTTACAAAGTGCCTCACCAATATTCAGGGGCCTCATCCTGTATATCTACCTACTCCACTGTCTTTGTTTATTTTGTGCACTCTTTATAGTCAGGGTTATTGTTTCCAAAGTCAGATCTTACCACTTCCTTGCTCACACCATTTTTGTTTCTCCATCACATGGAATAAAACCCTAACTCCTCAGCTTGTACTTAAAGCCATCTATAAGGAGACCATACTTCAATCTTAACCTTCAAACCATGCTCCTACTTCCATACCTTACATTTGGTCCCATTTCAATGGCACTTACGCACTCCACTGTGTCACAGTCCTCACCAGTGTCCTTCTTTCCTTCCTTTTACCCACCAACCCCGGGGACATCTGAGTTTCATGGTTCATGACCGATTTCAGTATTCCAGGGCCTGACCTCAAGGTGGGCTACTTTCTTGGTCAGCTTGCTCCTCTCAATCACTTATACTTCTCATCCAGCTTCTCCCACAAAATGTAAGCCTCTCTCCAGGTTCAGTTTGTGTAATAGTCATCTTGGTAGGTCTCCCCAGCATATACCCGAGGTTGGTGAATGTAGCAGTTGTGCAAAGTATGCCTGTTAAACAGACTAGAAGGCCCCTTTCACCACGTTGTGGTGACCATGAGCAGTGTCTATCTTTCTAGAATATTCTGAGAGAGACCTTGTAACTTTTTGGATGTATGAAGATGTTTTCCTGACAACAGAAAGAAGTTGGGCTCTCCTTTTCTGAAAAACAGGACCGTTAGTGTGTTTCCAAGGCTTGAGGAAGAACACAGGCTATTGGAGTGGTTTAAAAACAAACCACAGGCAGTAAGCAGGCCATATCACAGGACTCATTTGCTTGGCAGAAGTCACCCAGAGCAAATGCCTGGAGAATTTAGAAGTGCAGAATTGTTCCTGGCTATGTTGCCCAAGTGCAGGAAAATGGCTCAAGTAACTGCCCTCCATGGGCAGTCAGTCAAAACACAGAGTCAAAACTATAAATGGGCAAGTGCCCCCACAGAGGAAAAATTATCAGCTATTGTTAGGCAGAATAATACGTGACTGCTGACATTTCACCTATTATTGTTACAGCAATATTTTAAGAAAGAAGTGTAGTTAAGGTTGTCAGAATTTCATTTTAACCCCCTCTTTGAGGCTGTTAAAAATTCACTCCTGTTGAAACTTGCCTTTCAAGTCCTAAGCTGGATCTGTGCTTTGTTTTCAATCCGTTGTTCTCTGGTGGAACGCAGAATGTAATGCAGAGGAGAGGGCTTTTCCAAGGATCCTTCTACAAGCTACCTCCTATCTCAAATCCCCTTTCCTTGCTTGTTCCACTCTGCATCAACGATTAGATTCAATACCAAAAACAACTCCAAAGATACGCTCAACTCATAGCGAATTGAAGGCTTTTGGCAGTGGTAATAAAAATAGCTACAGCAATAAGTAATACTCAGCAAGTAGGAATCTGTTCAGCAGCCTTCACTACAGAAAAACACAACCTTGGAATGCTGTAGGTGTCCGTGAGAGACAGGTTGAGTCAGCAGGTATTTCTGTTGCACTCACAAAGGTAACCAGTGACAGTCCAAAAATGTCTTCATGGCATACAGGTGATAGGAAGGAGGAACTGTAAGTATTGTGCCAAACCTACATTTGTAGAGCAACCCACTGATTTGGTTTAACCTGTGTGCTCTTGGCACTCAAAGCTCCGATGCTCTTCTACCCTAAGCCACCTCACACTGGTAAGAAAACGCCAGGAGAAGAGGAAAGAACCATTGATTTTTTGGGGTCAGTTACTATGTGCCAGGCAGAACACTGGGCACTTTATAGTCATAAAGTACCATGAAGACACCAAGAGGCATGAGACACTCCTCATCCCTACTCTCCAGCTGAAACATACTCTAGGTATATCTACTTGTGCATAAATGGCTTTAAAACACTCCCATGCTTGCTTTGCTTATCTTAAACCCCAGCCGCTGTCCAGCTAGACTTATTATGTTGATCAGCATATGAGATATCACCATATATAATAGAGTATTTACTTTAGTAGACATTCCGCCAGCTCTTTGATAAACATGTTAGTTCTTGTATGTGCCATCCTTCCCATTGCAGTGGTCCCAGAACCTGGGAAAGAGCTATAATTAGCCATTTATTATTATAAGCATATCCATAATACTTTCCATTTGCAAACGGCTTGGCAATCAACTCTACTCTTTATGTCTCACAAGAAATCAGGTAGCTCAACACTTGTTAGCTATGTTTTATGGCCCTGAATCCTCAGGCCGAGAATTAAAAGAAATCAAGGGTTATGCAGCCAGCTCAGGCTTAAGACCAACACAGCTGCTCTGTTTTGATCCAGCCTCTCAGCCTGGCTGCCCAGCTGTTTCCCAATCTTTTCCCTGAATATATATATTTATTTTTAAGCTCTTGGAATTAGGAAAATTGTAGTAAGAATATTGGCCCCGATTCTCCATTTTTAGCTTGAAGAAGCCACAGCCTGGGCTTCTGCCAAGTGGTGCTAAAATAACTGTGTCGGACTTGAGAAGGCCCATCAGACAATTCCCTCCACTGGGGAAGCAAAGCTGAATCTCCTGAGGGGTGATTTTGCCCAACCCGTGTCTGTGGCTGCAGAAGGGAGTGGGGCATCATGGGCAGAGTTCAGGTGCATTGCCCAGCCAGGCAGAAGAGCAGTGGAGGCAGAGAGGCAGGGGAGCGGGTAGAGCTGGTTGGCCTTGGGGAGCATCTTTGGAGAGCAATGGGCTGTTCAGGGACATGCGGGCATGGGCACAGGAAGGTAAGGTCCCGGTGGCTCTGGCTTTCAGCATGGAATATGTAGCCACTGTCTTAGAAGATGGATGATAAAATAGGATGAAAAGCATAAAGAACAACTGTGGTTCAGCTTTGGCAAAGGTCTTGTGGAGAGCTGTCCTTCTCTCCTTGGAGTCAGGCTGTTTTGTCTGCCATTCTTGAATTATGCCGTCATCTCATATTAATAGTAATAAAATGTTTATTATCCTATATCATCACTTCATAATCTCTGTAATGCTTGCTATTAAATCCTGAGACAGTGCTGATTCCTTATTAAATTTTGTTTTTAAACTGCATCTTCATGGCTCCATAGTATGTGTGCACCACTTGCCCCAAATATTTTATTTTAAAACTATGTTAAGTGCTGATAATAGTATTTCTACCAGTATCAAGAAAGACAATCGTCTCGACTTAGAATATGTGCATGAACTGGGAATCTCTTTTCATTCTAATTCTGAACTTAATTTGTTTCTAATATTCTGTTTACTCTTCTTTAAGCAGATTGGGTCAACTGGTCCATTTCCTATTTTCAAAAACACATACTTCTTCTTCTTGTACTCTCACCTTCCCCAAATACACCACCATCACCACCACCATCATCATCATCAACAACAACATTAGTTGAATCCTATATGCCAGGCATTATCCTGAGAATTTCACATGTGCTAGCTGATTAATTCTTCACAGTAGTAATAGGAATTATTGTAACCCCTATTTCACAGATGTAGATGCTGAGACACACAGAGGTTGAGTACTTCACACAAGATCAGTCAGATGGGAACTGGAAAACATGAAATCTGGCTCCAGCGGCAGGCTCCTTCCTGCTATGCTTTGTGGCCCCTCCTGATATCCTGGTGAGTATATTCCTATTTCCAAAGCATTGTATGTATGTGCATCTTTTCATTTGATTCTTACAACCACACATAAGGTTTTATTTAAACTGAAAACCCCATTTTGTTCCTTCCAAGTCTGGAGAAAATATGTAACTCTTATATTATTGAATTCTTGAAAGTTTGCTTAATTTTTTCCCCCAGATGAAACTTCTAGATTTAATGGAGAATTAATTCTAGATTTAATCTAAAGTGACACTATGGACTTCTCCCCCTAAAAAAAGTTAAAGTTATATTCAGCTGTAAATCATGTTCAAATTACTTTCCATGCTTCTCTTTTCCTATTATAAAGCACGGTCCTGCATTTTTCAAAGGGATGTGTTGAACTTCAGTAGAAATAAGGAGTGTATTTAAATTGTCTTAAATAATAACTGTATTTCAAAATAAAAAAGTTTAGGTTTCACACATTTATACTTATATGAGTAACACTCATACTTATAAGTCTAGATTTATATATTCCAGGCCAAATTCCAGAAAGGATGTTCAGAGATTTGGAACATATACTGCTTGGAATCCACATAAACCTTTGCTCTCCTTTCTTGATATGAAGAATAAGAGTTTATTCTACTTCTCAAAATCTCTACTTAAAAAAATTTACAAAAGGACATACACGATCATGTGGACTAATAAAAATAAATGCTAAATTCATTATCGAATTATGTTTTTTTCCATGCTTCCTCATGTACAGTTCACTGTTTCTAATTCTGACACATTATCATTTCAAAAACTTCCTAGTTTTTCATAGAAAACAACTGAACTGGATTCTGAAAGAATACAAATAGTACATGTGCCACTAGTTGAATATATACCACATTGTTCTTTGAGTGAAATCCGTCCAGGCCTGTAGTCCTGACGATCTTCAGGCCCTTACAGGGAGGCCCATGGGAGAAAAGATCAGGATTCCCGCGTCGTGCAGGGGTGAATGGGAGTGCTTGAAACGCCCAAAGTCATTTGAAGAACCAAGCCAGATCCCCAGCCTCTCCTTACAATAACTTCCTCTGTACACAGCTTCACATACTTGTCATGGTAAATATTCCCTCCTACTGAGAGCCACACAAATATTCCTGCTGAACAATTAATCCCCTCACAAAGCATCTTGGGAAAACCTGGATTGAGTTTTAGTTTTGTGGTCAGTGAATATCTCATATACAATCTCGAGGGGCACCTGGTAGAGGTTAGTGCACAGATCAAGGCCACAGCTGAGCCTATCCAGTGACATAGATCAAGAAAGCTCTTCCCTTAACAGCCAGCTGCATTTCATCTTTGCATATTCAGACCAAAGAAAACAAATACCTGCTGTTTCAAACCGCTGGGTAGTTTCCTGGAATGCAGATGGATCACCAAAATCATGGACAATAGTGATGTTTTTTCTTAGGGTGACAGGTAGACCTCATGAGGTAAGTCAGGTCCTACAGCCTGTGAAGAAACAAGGGCTTTAGGACCACTGAACAGAATGATATAGGGGAGGGTCTTACATGTCCAATTGTAAATCCAACCTCCACAAAATTGTAGTGATGGTTGTACAACTGTGAATATACTAAAAAACACTGACTTGTACATTTAAATGGGTGAGTAGGATGATATGTGAATATATTTCAGTAAAGCTGTTACATATTTTTAAAAAACCCTTTAGTCTGGACCTTGGTTCTCAGCCTTGGCTGCTTCTTAAAATCACTTGGGCAGGGTGGGGTGAGGGTGGGGCACTTTTTAAGTCCCAGTGCCCAGGTCATATCCTAGATCAACTAACTGCATCAGAATCTCTGTGGACGGGACTCAGACACCCAAATTATTGAAAATAATCCCCAAATCCACATATATTTCCATCAACTTTTGCTCTCCTTAGTCTACCCGAAAGATACAATGGCAGCAAAAGTGACTCAGCTGGGACACCCTGGCAAGAAACATATTCCCAAAAGGCAGGGCTGGCTATATACGTGTCTGGCCCAGAGTGAAATGAAAATGTGCAATTGCACCTAAAAAATTATTAAGCATTTCAAGGCAATAACCGCAAAGCTCTGAACCAAGCAGAGAGCCCCACAGAGCATGGTGGCATATGCGGCTGCACAGGTTGTAGGCTGTGAAGCCACCAGCCCTACTAAAAGGTGAGAAAGAGGGAGGCAGGGGTCTGCCTAACCGATACAACAGGGCTCTGTTGTCTGCTGGCCCTCCTGGCTGAACTTCCCTTAGCAGAACGTGCACTTGTAGACTCTACAGCTTACGGATGACCTTGTGCCACTTTCTCATTTATAGAAACCAACACCCAGAGAAACTCAATGACTTGTCTAAGGTCACAAGTTCAATGACAGAGCCAGAACTAAACCCCAGGTATCCTGGCTTTCTTTCCCCTACACCACACTACTGGTCTCCAGTTTAAATGTAAATAACCAGAAAACGATAACTATAAAGAAATGGGAGGTGGGACAGGAAGGACATTACTTATTAGAACTTCTTTTTCAACTCTTCTAGGCCAAGGCTGAAAGGCTGTTTTAAAAAATAAGTTCCAAATTCTTTTCTGGGTCAACGCTTTCAAATCTTAGGGTAATGATATCATATGACAGCTTTAAACACTAAAGCAAATTACCTTTGCTGAGAGCTCACTTGAGCCCTTGGAGTTAATGATCATAAGCAAGGTGGTTATTAGTGGATGGTTATGAGGCAACACATTAGTAAACTAATCGGTGTTCCTGTACAAATATTTAAAATACTTCTGAGATAATTTGAACTTTAACACTGAGCTAGCCAAACACATTTGTAATCTGAACCCAAGGTTCTAATAAGTTTCTGCCTTTTGGATGTCCTTCAATGTGTGGGACATTTTTAGAAAGATTAACACTTGAGTGTAAACACAGACTGACATTTTCAATGTAAACATGAGACCTGGAGTTTTTAATCTGAAACAAAATGCATGTGTGTTCTTCACACAGGTGTATGTGCAAATTTCATCCAGCAAAGAATGTGGTGCAAGGGCGTAATAATTGAAAGATACTGTACAAGTCAAATATAAACAAAGCTCTAAAAGCTTATGAAAAACATTCAACCAGGTGATAAAATTGTCCCAGGTAGGCTGGCAATAGAATATGGAAAAAAACCCAACTCAAACCAAACCAAAACATAAAAAACAACAGTGTTGTTCAACAGGCAAAAGACAGCTGCCAACACCCTTTGACAAGGAACAGTGGCCGGTAACACTGGGCAGTTTGAATCCCAATTTCATATATACTTGATTTTTGTGGGCCTTGGCTAATGCATCTGAAAAATGGAGTTGATACCAGCCAAACAGCCCAATCAGATGCTTTCACGATGTCTTGGTGATCTCTTGACTCTTTGAGTCATACACCTTTAATTATATCTCACTGAGTTGTCCCTCAGAATTTTTCACTGGGGCAGGAGGGGTAAAATTGGTTTTGCATGTCCAGTGCTTTCCATAACTTTATGGTCTGCAGGTAGCAACAAGGGAAAACAAAATATTCTCTGGCTTGGCCAAATATTGGCATAATTATAGGTCTGCTGTTTGGAAAATGAGGGTTGGATGAAAATGGTACATAGACCTGAGTAACCCAAAGTGTCTGAACTATAGCACTTACATCTCATTAACCACCAATTACTATATCCATAATTTAACACAGAAAGGAAAAACACAGATGAGGTTTTAAAAAAATCCTTTATCTGGACTTCAGTTTATACTTGGCTTTCAAAGACAGCGTTCATGCAATCGGTTGAGAAAGGGGAGTAGTCAGATTGAGCAATAAAAACACTTTTTGATAACACGTGAGGCTATAAAAATGGCTTGGCTGAATCTATTAGCCAAAGATAAACACCCTGTAAGAGGAAAATAAACTTTTTTTCTGGATCATAAGATCTGGTATGTTTTTAAAGACCTTGCTTTCACTGAACATCCATTTCAAGAGACATTTGTAAATTTGTGATTTTATAACATTTTTGCATCTGAAATCTTGCCTCTGTTCTGGCAAGATCATGGTCAAGACATTCATCAAAATACAGGACAAAAATGATCCTTATTTATTTTTGTTATTTATTTATGAGCCTTACTATTATTAGTATTTCTGTTACTATGCTACTCTTATTACCACTACCACTAGTAATGCTGTTACAACTACTGCATCCATATCTACATTTCTTTTTTAAATGTAACATTAGATATTTTATTTATATGATACATGTATCAATCACTAGCTTGAGTACAATGAAAGCTATAAACTAACCTCAACATATACCAATAAAGCACGTGATGATATATGAAGCATATTGCTAACAAAGTTTCAAAAATTGGATAATTTTACATGTGACTTAGATATGGTTTTTTCTTTTTTAGTTGAACTTATTGGGGTTACATTGGTTAATAAAATTATATAGGTTACAGATGTGCAATTCTATAATACATCACCTATACATTGTATTGTGTGTTCATCACCCCAAGTCAAGTCTCTTTCCGTCACTATTTATCCACTCTACACCCGCTCATATCTGCATTTCTAAATGGCCATCTGATAAGAGTTCTAGTGACTAACATTTTATTCTCAGCTCCTGAGTCCCTGGCTGGTTCTCTCTGGTGAGTCCATTGGCTCTACCTCAGTATAGCCCACATGCTAGCTGCTTCAATGTCGCTGAAAAACTTACTAAAAATGCAAATTCCAGGATCCACCCCTGAACTACAGAATCTGAAGCTCTAGGGTGGGAGGCCAGGAATATAATATGTCTGCAGACCATGATTCTGATGCTCAAATTTGCAAAACTTTGCTCAACAGAGAATGTGACCAAGGTGCCAAGGAACAGAAGAAGGAGGGATGGGAGAGAACTGAGGACAAACACCTGGTGCCACCACCTGCATGCTTGACCTTGTCTGCTTCAGGTCAGGCTGCCAAAGTCAAGGAGAAGAAGGGTAAAGTCTGGGGCAGGTTTTCAGGAAAGAGAGCTCCTTCCACCTTGGAAGTGGTCAGAGAGAAGCTCCTGTCGTTGGCTTTAGGCCTTCACGAGGCCAGGCACTCCCAGAGCTTTACTTGAGCCATTGCCTGTCTTTTTTGCTTGCCGAGTATTAAAAATGACAAGGCTCCTTATTTTTCGTCAGTGCAGGCATGTCAGATCAAATTAGCAACTATTTCTCAATTAGTATTTCTTAAAGTGTGAGGTCCATGCATTTCAGGGTCTCATTGATTTCCCAGTCCCACCAAATCAGAGTCTCAGGGTTTCAATAAGCTCTCAAATGACTCCTATGCAGTGTCAAATTTGGAAACTGTGGTTCTATTTTTTTGGCCTAACCTGTCAATTAGTTTGTGATGAGGTTTCAAAATATATCCTCTAACTTACTATCTATCCTTTTCCTCCCTCCCTTCCTTCCTCCCTCCCTCCCTCCCTCCCTCCCTCCCTCCCTCCCTCCCTCCCTCCCTTCCTTCCTCCCTTCCTTCCTGAACAAACATGTTTCCTAAAAAACACAAGAAAGTAAAAAAACACACAAAGAAAACAAGAAAAATTACCTGTACCACATCACTCATTTTGATAAATGTAATTATGTAAAATAGCATTTTGATTAGATAAAATTGGGATATAAAATGACTGCATGAAAATCCATGAAAAGATATCAAAATATATTTTACTAACCACCTGTTGTTGAACATCTAGAAGCTACTGGTCAGAATTTTTGCATTATAAATAATAATACAGTAAGCAATTTTGTTAAAAAATAAACCATAAAAAAATAACAACAAACAAAAAAATCTTTGTGCTCATTCCTGGTGGCTAAAAAACATTTATGGTCAATTCTTAGAACTGAAATTTTTGGTTCAAAATTTTATGCCTTCTTTTGAAGTGTTTGATATATATTTCCAAACTGCCCACAAAAAGAGAGTACCAGTTAAGAAGATATAAGGTTATAAATTGGTTAATACCAGGTTGGAGACACTTTGGCAGGTTTGGAAAAATGACTATATGCATATTTTTAGACCTGGAAATTTCACTTCTAGGTATCCATCCTAGAGCGACTCTTGCTTAAGGAAATATTCACAATAGTAAAAAGCTGAAAATGATCTAAATATTCATCATGCAGGAATAAAAAATGAATAAAACAGCATTTAAAATATATGAACTAGATCTATAGGTATCAACACAGACCAGTCTCAAAAACATCATGGCACAATATTGAATAAAAAATCTTGGTAAAACTACCCACAGAATGGAATTATCTATGTAATATTTTAAAAACCATACAACATTCCACTGCATCTACCTATATAAGGTAACTACAAAAACACGTGCCAAAAGGATACACTAACTTTACCATAGTCATTAATTCCTGAAAAGAGCACTAGAGGAGAAGAGTAGGGGTCTCAGATAGATTCATAATATTTTATTTTAATAACAAAGTTTTCAGGCAAATAAAATAAAAGGTCAACATTGGTCAA